GTTGCAGTTAGTGTTGATTAGTTCTGGTTAGTAAAATAGTAAAATATAAAGCTGTATTCATTTATGAGAAAACGGAAAACTGTAGAAAAAAATGCATTTGCTTTAAAAAAATGCCCTATTTTCCGAATCCAAAATTTTCGTAAATAAAATGGTCGAAAATTGAATGTCTCCATTAACTTCCCAAAAAACGAGCTCTTGACATGTAAGTCGATTTTGCTCTACCTAGTTCAGAAATAGGCTTTTACTGTTAAAATACTCCAATCCAATTACGACCACCCTGTACACATTTATAGATAAATAAATAAATAAAGTATTTATTTAAAACAGTTGCAACAATTTAGGTTACACCAAGAAATAAAGAAACACAAAAGTCGTGGGTAAGTAAGGTCAAAAATATTGCAATTTAGATTAAAGAACAAGAAACTGGATGAAAGAAAATTGTGAAATAACGAGATATTATCTTCACACAAAAAAATTACCCCCAATAACAACATTTTCTAATTCGAACTTAAGTGCTCTAATGCTAACAGATTTTTTATGTTTTATGGGTCAATACCTATTACCCATGTCGGGTTAAATGCCTATGAACTGGGCCAGATTTAATTAGATTGTTAATTAAATAGCAAATAACTTTATGTGAGATTATAAAAAACAACAGCTCACAGCCACAATATATATTTGAGTCAAATTTAATCAGCCAGAATTCTTCAGACCATGATACGTGATCAAACTTGTCATGTCCATAGCTGTAACGTATACCTTTTTGAAATAACGTATACAGTTTTGAAGTCATCCCAAGTTCTCTTAATCCCTATCCATTATAGCTGGGCAATAAACTATTCAACACAAAGCATGAATTTCACATCTTTACTTAATATTTGTTTATGCAAATATTGATGATGATGGTAATTTAAGTTTATATTATGATTTTTGAAATATATACACAATATCTAAACTAGAATCAAAAAGAAGACTCAAATGTTTAAAAGACTGTGACGTCAATCCGAGCCACTTCGGACATTTCCGGGATTTTAGCGCACGGGTTTGGGAGCAATCGGATGTTTTCGGAGATATTTCCCACGCTTTGAATTTTGACGTTTGTCAATTCTGACAGTCATGACAGTGAATGTATTCGCGTTGTTTTGCGAAAACGTACCCAAAAATTAACGATCGTAGAAAAAGTATAGTACGCAACACGTTCGGTAAACTTTTTAAGTCACTCGTTTATTAAACACTCGCCCCGCTCTTGCCAAATAAACTCGTGAGTCAAATGCCATTTACCGCACTTGTTGCATGATATACTATTTCGTATCCAGAAACTGTTATCTCTGCTTTAGAGCCGAGTTTCAAGCAATGAGAATCGTCAACGGTATGAATAACACCCAATTCACCAATAACTTTATTTGAAACTAAATCCAGATCCAAAATTGTAAAATGCAAAATCGGACACATAAAGAGGGAAAAGTAATGGAAGTAAATTAAAGCTTTTTTATCTAGACCACAAAACCATAATTTTGTTCAAAAGATTGAATGATTAAGATTACCGAAGTCTATAGTCTAGCCGAATCAAAATAAATTAACTGTAGGGTTAAACTGATACGATTCTGTCATCCATAGACCCTTATCTATTCGCGTGTATTACTTTGGACACTGGCCTGTTGATATCCCTTTTGTGGTTAAATAAGTTAAATTAGGTGGAATGTGATATATTAATGATCATATGATGATTGATTCAAAATGACAACAACCTTATTTATAAGTTTATTAGGGATCAAAAAGAATTGTGTTACCAATGCCTGTGGCAGACATGAACATGGAATTTCACGATTCGTTAGTGAAAATTAAGTGATAACTGTGTTATGAGTAGAGATACAAAGTCGGTTAAATTAGCAAAGTAGTTCCATTTTTCCCACTGATTACGATGGTGAAAACAGAAAAACAATTAAATGAGCCTAAAATTGAAAATAACAGAATTATTAGCGCATTTCTCATTTAGACTAGATGTTTATGAGTGGTTGCAAAATAAAACTCCATTTTCCTTTTATTGTTTTATTTCAGAGTAAGAAAGAATAATAGTAAAACCAATTTCAATGTCTTCATTTATTATAAAATTTCATTTTTCTTTTCATTTTCATTATTTCTAAAGACGTAGAAAAAATTGTTCAAAAAAAGCTGTAGAAAATAATAACGGCCTTGCCTTGCCTTTGTCAAAAAATTAGTTGTAATGGGTTAAATATTAGTAGTGTTATATCAATTACTATTAATTATTTAAATTAATCGAATATTTTGAAGCATATCGTGACAATTCTGTTCGATATAGAGTGAAAGATTCTAACCTTTTTTAATACTGTCCAAAGGATTTAAAAAAACACAAATTTTGCCCTTATAAATTCCGACAAACTCAGGTGTTTTCGGTAGGGGATGCAGAGAGAAGCCTTTTTTCATGTCGTTGGTATATTAACTTTTGCTGACAAAACGTAAATAATATTGTGGACTGACGAATCAGTTTCAGAGTTTAGTGCGGTACAATTAGTTCTCGCATTGTTGCTCCATATTTTTACCATGACACGCTGACCGGCGAGCCATACATTTCACATACACTGCAATTGCGGATGCTAGATGAACTTGACCTCATACGTAGGCAGAATCTCCATTTTTGACAACCATTTTCAAAGATAAATAGATTGATACAAATGGACCTATTCCTTGGTCTTCTAGGTCACCAGACATAACCCCACTTGATTTCTACCTTGGCGTTTTCAACGAGCAAATAAGAGAAAAATAAACCAAAAACAAAATAAAATGAAGATTTTGTTGGGTTTAACTTAAGGCTTTTGGAAAGTTCACTCAAAGTTCGTAAATCGTGATTTATGTTTTGTTCTGCCTCCAAAAATCGTCATCATCAAAACAATGATAAATTTGTGCATCGTCGGCAAACACAATATACGCAATAAATAACAGAGGCCCTAAAATGGAACCCTGTGTTTTTCTATTATTTAGATATGGTGACATAAGAGTAAAGATTCATAACATTTTAGCTTTTATATTAAAAGCTGATGACTGATTGCATTCAAATCCTTCGAGAAATCTAACAGCACAAGAACGGTACTTATTTTCTTATCATAAGCTCGAAAAATATCATGCAATACATGAAGCAATGCTAGTTGTGTTCCAGACTTCCTTTTAAAACCACAATATTGTTATAAAAAAAATCGTACATTTGATGTAAATTTTTGAAATTGGATAGGATATCATTATACGTCATTGGATTAAAAACTTCGGATAATGGTTTCTCTATTGATATCCACTCGTCCCGAAACAAGCTTATTTCGATATATCAGTTGATTATATGCATAATATATTTATCACCTACTTTTGCATTAACGGTGATACGTCATAAAGATCAGTTGCATCTGTTATAATACCATTAAGAAAACTGCAACTTATTATTGTAAACGTTTTGAATAAATAAATATAGAAAAATAATTATTTAAATTATTGGGATCAGAAACTCTTTATTGCCGACGAACTTTTTTTAAAGATTATTTCCACATTTCGAATCATATAAAGGTATTTCTTTTTTTCATTTCTTAAAAATATATAGTTCTTTCAATCGTTAGGATCATTAGTTTTGTGCTAATAATAAAAACATTTTTTAAAATTTTTGACTATTTGTCCGTTCTCTGTTCTCTGATCTCTGTTCCCTGTCGACGTTTCATCGAAACACCAATAACTTCCGAAGAGGTCAAGCTAGAACGCTGAAATTTGGCTCCTTTTTAACGGCTCGTAAGATACATAAGCCTATAAAAAATGGCCGCGATTGCACAGTGGCGTTCATTTTTTTTTGTGATTTTCCTCTTTTCTTCGTACATCGCTATGAAACGCGATAAGTGTTCGAAATTTGTAGCTATCGATTTCAAAATTGCCACAAATATAGCGTTTAGTTCTAGAACCTATTGAAATTGGGGGTCTCGGGGGTCGCGAAGTATTTTTAAAAATTTAAGAAAGGCATTTCTTAAAAACTGACCATAACAAGAAGGCTGTGATTCAGTTGTCAGTTTCTTTCATACAACAACTATATAGCACATATAGACAGCTAAAACCTTGGTATTTAAGGTTTTCACGTATGGAACAGGGTCTTCGGGATATCCTGTGCTATACGTTAAATGTTATAAACGTTTCAAATTTGTAGGTATGGGTATCGGCAAGTTAAAAAAAATTATTTGTTTGGGTTTTTCTGGCTTTCAAACAAAAACTACTAATCCGATCACAAAAATTCTTTAACCAGGAGACGCGGAAGATCCGGCACTATAACTTTTATTTCACGCATTTTTCCGATGATATTCAGGGTTTTTCAATTATGGACGAAAATCTAAAAAACCCTGAAAATTTGTCTTATCCTTAGCAAAATTATTGGCCATAAATCAGAATTCTTAAAAAATGTGGCTTATTGGATCAAACATTATTATAGGACGCGTTGCGACCTACAATTTTTGTACTTACGTCATTCACTATTACAGCGTACTGCATACTTTCATAAAAGTATTATTTTCTCGAAAACCATTTACTCTATTAAAAAAATTCATGGACCAGGGAACTCCGGAGATCCGGGACTATAACCTCTACTTCGAAATTTTTTTCAATTATGTACGAGGTTGTTTTGGGACAGAAATTCTAAATGATGCTGAAAATATCCGTTTTTTTGGGATATATTATTGGTCGTAACTAAAAAACGGCAAAAGATGAGATAGATGAATTGATTTAAACTGTATCGCAAACCGTGGTGAGAGCTACAGTTTTCTACTCACGGTTTTCGTCCACCGTACTGGGTAAGCGAGATATTTGAAAATATGTGTGGTCCGATAGAAAAGCAATGCGTCTATCTAGGACAAAAAGCATTTAAAAAATAAAAAGCTTCGTAGTGACTTTGTAGACTGCGTAGCGCACAATACGGGCGCAATTTAACAGGCTTTTTTGAAACTTCCAAAGTCCACACCTACCTTCTTCAGCGAACGAGATCACCTCGCTGGTCCTGCCGTAGAAATCGTCCGCGTCCACGACCTCCGTACCGCCACTTTTTTCACTCGTCGTGGGGTACTCCTCCTCGGCGCCGAAGTCGGGGAAAAACTCCCCCTCCTCCGCCCGGTACAGCGTCTCGAGCACCACCTCCCTCGGAAGACTGTGCGTTACGTTCGGTTTCGACCTCAGGCCGAGCTTTTGCAAGATCTGCCTCTTGATCGCCTCGAGTCTCAACTTGTCCGTTTCGATTTTCTCCCTGTCCTGTTTATCGAACAGGCAGTTCGGACACGAGGGCGTGTGGCTCTTGGTGCCGATCTCCTCGTACGCGGATGTCTTCTCCAGCTGATCCTTGACGTGGTGGTGCCGGAACCTCTCGCCGTTCGTCAACGTGCTCGTCGCGGTACTCACGGTACTGCACAGCAGGTACAGACAGGACGCGGTCACCGCCCAACACGAGAACGATTTTCTGTTGTAGTAATTTTTGAAAACGGCCATTTTATTGTGTGTTTTTTGGCGGGCGGGTGGTGGAGGAACGGCGGAATGGACGGCAGAGATTGCTTCGAATTATTCCTACTATACCTACGATATTGCCTATCTACTTGGATAAAGAGCGCTAATCGACATCACCCGACGACTTTATCCCGTCGTGCGACGTCGCACGTGTCCCGTGGGAATCCGGCGAGAACCGCGCGTCCGCCCGCTCTGATTCTCGACGAACCGTTCGCACATTTTTCGAAATTTCCCGCGAAAAAAATTCAGTTAATAATCCACCCGGAACGGCGACGCGCGAAATCGAAAAAAAAAATTCCGAGCGGCCGGCGTCGAATCTAGTAGTCCGAGGGCGATTGCGATATCTATATATCGTTATTATTATCTAGCGGGCCTCGCACACACAACGACGTCTGCACCCTCTGCGCGCGCTTCGACGATTGGACGCCAACTGACTAACGTTCCACGGCCATAGCCGCCTTTGCGTTTCTGAACTTTTGAGTTTTCTAGTTGCATCCGACAGCATTTACCATATTGGACAGACGCGAATTTGTCAGAGCGGCCCGTTAATTTTCTAACGGTGCCGGGCCAATCGGAACGCCGTATCGTCAATTTGGAAGGGCGCTTCGTTTGACCTCGGTTATAATCGCGTCCTTTTAAAACTGAAAATTTTCTACTCGACAAATACTTACAATATTCTTTATTTAATCGATAAAAAATTGGAAGATATGGACTACTACCAAAAACCATGCAATATCTTTTTAATAGTGGTAATAGTAACATTAATTTCAGCAATTAGGTAATACTTTCAAAAATATATCAAATACGAATTTGAGAAATTTCTGCGTGCATTTGTTCAGTCTAATGCAACTTAACTTACTAATTATAAAACTAAAATTAATTATTATTGAATTTATCACCCACTTAATGTCATAGTCAATATTAAACAAGCAGGAGTCAACAAGACTCTTAATTTCTTTATGTTCCCTATTTTCAAAAAATATTGGATGGGCGTTTCAAATTCTATGTTTACGAATGATGTTCCGTTCTGAAAGTGAAGTTAATTTCATTACTTCCGGTTTTAGTTTTTATTTTTTTTTTGTTTTTATTTTAAAACTTAGCAAAAACCTGTGAATACATTCTCATTGGAATTTTTAGGCTTCATCTCATGGCCTAAAATCCCTTGCGGCAGTTTGTTTTTCCCAAACCATCATCAACTTTATTTTTTCTTGCGGTCTCCATATTGGATTTTTGCAGTGTTTAACAGCCCGTATTGTTACTTTTTTATTGATGTATCACAAATTGCATTTGTGTTCCCTCAAATTCGAAATATTGAACAAAAACTTTTCTACCATATTAAGCTATGAATTTTCAAATCTGTCTATGGTATTTTAATATCTAGTTGAAAGTTGTTGAAAGTTGAAAGTAGTTTATTATTAGCAGAATATGGTACTAAACATCAACAAATTAAAAAAAAATGTACATAAAAATATAAGTATTAATAGTAAATTTAACAATAATAATAATAATAATAATAATAATAACAATAATAATAATAATACTTAAGTACTTCACTATACATTCACAGAACGACAAAGAATGCAAAATTTGTAGTATACATCTAGCTCAAGTTGAGATACATGTTTTTCAATTTTTTTAGAAAAATCTGCACATTGGGTGAGTTTTTAATATCGGAAGACAGCGCATTGAATAGTCTCAGGCTATCATTGGAAAGACTTTTTTGCATATGCGTTGTTCTGGTGAATTGGCCAATATCCTTACTTCTGGTAAGTACCAATTTTTTCTTGTTTTCGTCTTCCTGGGAAACTACCACCAGCGTCTTTTCTGTTTAAGTTAGTAAAAGTATAGTTTCTTCCAATAAAACTGCATTTCTGACACTGTCAGGCCTTGGAGAGGTCACACAGCGTTAAAGCAGTAGGCTTGCCTCACTTAAAGCCTCCAACTATGTCAATCACTATACGCAATAGTGCTTGGGTGGCAGAAGGCCCTTTCCTAAACCCAAATTGACGATTAAATCATTAGACTCAAAATAATGAGACAAATGATAGACCCAAGGAAAAATTTAAATGAACGTTTAGGGTTAATCAAACTATACATGAAATATATTGAGTTTATCGGAGAACAAATTCTTTATAAAATCATAATTACAAGTTTTACACCTTTCTGCCAAAAGAATTTGCTGTTATATTTTGAATTACTGTAATTACTGGATATATTGTACTTTCCGCTATACTACGGATTCATAATATGCACGCATGAGAGTCATTGAACCAGTGCACTGAAGCATTAGGCCATAATGTTTTTTTTAACTAAAGAAAAACACAGCAACGCAGGTTCCTAGTTTTTTTTTACCAAATTAAATGCCAAATCATTTACTTTCCTATCAAAGGTATTAAAATTTCTTGTAATTGATGTTTGAAGATATCCAATAAAATTTTTTAATAATTTTTTTTTTCTAGAGTACTTTCTACACTCTAATTTACTATGGGAGAATTTCGAACTATTGTTATCCGCTTCAACCTGAAGTCTTGACACATTGATCTCACAAACAAGAATGGATCACCGTAGTGAAAACCGGATATCCACAGTTTGCCCAACCATTAGTTAATCTAATGAGTTTCCGAATGGTAAGCTTCAATCCAAAATGAGGTAGCAGCAATAAAAAGTCGAAAAATTTAGAGATGGAAATATTAAAATCACCTAAAATAACCATCTAAACACATTTTGGAGAAATGCTATCTTTTAAACCTTCTAAATTGTGCATAAATGATATAAAATTACCACTAAAATTCACAGTCCATTTCGGAGCAAAAATCTTTACATCCAAGTTAAGTAAATATTATTCTTAAAATATATACTCAGCCCTCGTCTGTGGTTATCAGACCTACAGAAACAAGTTAAGTACTTGTAGCCAGGAATATTAAAAAAAAACTGTATTACGCAAAGTAAAACATTCATACGATTAATAGGTTAAATCAAACTTTTAAGCCTCTAACAGCAACGGAAAACTGTCGAGCATCCCATCCAAACCCTTGGATGTTGTGCTCCAGAATACTGCACAGTCTCTTCGCAAAACTGTAGGTATTTTTTGTGAGATATCAAATTTGAATAGAATCGAGGTTTCAGGAAGGTCATCATGGATTCCATACTAACTGCAGGATTAATATTAAATACATGGAAATAGGTCAAATCTGCTTGGTGTGCGGCTACTTGGAAATTGATAGAATCCATTGGATTGCACAAGATTGCCCAGACTTAAACCATCAAGTATCTAAGATGGAGTGTCAAAGTATTTATAAAAAGTCTATTTTTTATTCATCAACTTGTGTAACTTTTACTTGACGAAGTCCAGAGTCACCTTGCTATTTGTTGTGACCACATTCTGATATTGCGTGTCTGTAATAGCCGAGTTATAACCTCAATTTCGTCGACTGTACCGCCTGCATTTAAACTATATACAAGTATATACTCGGAAGGAGGCTCAGTGTTGTACTTCATGGAACAGTTGTTTTATTCTTTATAGTCTTCACTTAATTGCACTATTACATATCTAGCTTTCAACAAAGCAGCTGACCTGTTGCTCCAAGAGTAGTTTTATCGTGAATTCACCATAGCGTTCGTTAACTTGATGCGAACTTATACATAAATGTATTATTGAATAATTATATATTTAATTATCTCAAGATTTAGCTAAAAATTAAACTGTTGCTGGTCATTTTTGCACGATCATTAAATCGACATGATGTGATATCTGCGCATTTTGTAAGCTACTTAGTATAGCACTCCCAAAGAATTAGCTTATCGCTTGTCATTGTGAAAAAAGGTCCAGGGCTCCCCGACTAACATGTTTGGACACAATTAACCAAAACGATTCGAACGTAACAAATAAAATGTGCGGTATATAATTCAAGGATCTCGATCGTGTCGACAATGTAGTTTAAAGCGTCGAATGTAAAACTTCCCAAACTCCGCACAACAAGTTTATCACTTTTGTTACATTTTAGGGCCGCGATAAAAATGGTTTAATACGCCGTCCGCTGGTTGTAAAACGCGTACTCCGATCGAATTAACAAATTTGCGGAAAAAATGGCCCCGCGCATACAAGTAATTGAAAATTTTATCAGTGATCGATAACTTTACAACCCTTTGATTTGCCTTGATTAAGACGATATATATATATATATATATATATATATATATATATATATATATATATATATATATATATATATATATATATATATATATATATGATGACACTATATTCCGGGATATCATCCGTTCGCTCGTTGAACTCCGACTGGAATCCTGCATCCGACTGGAATCCTGCAAATCTTGCATCCGACTGGAATCCTGCAGACGTTTCGCCAAAATCTCACTTGGCATCTTCAATGCTCGCGCTCCGAAAACACTTCGAACACTGTTTTCGGAGCGCGAGCATTGAAGATGCCAAGTGAGATTTTGGCGAAACGTCTGCAGGATTCCAGTCGGATGCAAGATTTGCAGGATTCCAGTCGGATGCAGGATTCCAGTCGGAGTTCAACGAGCGAACGGATGATATCCCGGAATATAGTGTCATCATATATATATATATATATATATATATATATATATATATATATATATATATATATATATATATATATATATATATTATTATTATTATTATTATTATTATTATTATTAGTCGACTGGTAGAATAAAATGTAAGAGAAACAAAAAAGAGAATTATAGATCAAAATAAAAATAAGAAACATCTTTTAAGTATTGATATTGTCACTGATTGTTGTGATTCTTTATAAACTTTTGCAAGATGCCGCGAAGTTACAATTAATCAAAGCTCATAGTTTTGAATATATTGGCTTTTTGGAAAAAGATTATGCTAAAATTGGAATTCTACCGCAAGTTAATAATGTAATTGAACGAGCAGATGCAACATAAATTAGCCATACAACAATCATAAATATTAAGACAATAGGAATAACGAGGGAATCCTCTACCTCCAGAAGCAAAAACAGAAATTGTAGAAATGCAGACATGGAATGTCAAATGAGTACTTTCATTTTTCCATCAGGTAGCTAAGAAAATATGTAAAAAGTATTTTTTTACAGGCTACTGTAATACTTTTTACAAAACTTCTGGATTCCTCAAAGATCAAATAAAAAACAAATTTGAACAAACGTCGGGAACAGGTTCTCCTCTATCACCAGTCATCGCGAATATATTTAAGGAAGCCTTTGAGAAGAAAGCTCTAGACACCTTTCATCTAAAACCAAAATTATGGAAACGCTACGTCGATGATACTTTTGTTATTTGGCCTCATGCTCAAGAAACCTTAGTAGATTTTCTTAGACATTTAAACTCTATAAACGCTAACATACGTT